AATCGATGACTCTACTACGGCGCGTATACATAATGCTAGCTCGGATGTACCGCATTCTGGTTGCGTAGCATCTCACGTCGCTGAAGCCGACAAGGCCATTTTATTGGCAACCGCAGAAATATATTTGCAAGATCATGCAGGGCGATGGCAACCTGCTCGGGTGTTGTTTGACAACGGCTCACATGCATCCTTCGTGACAGAGGCCTGTATTCAACGCCTCCGTCTACAAAGGAAACCTTCGGCAGCTCATGTCACAGGTATTGGTTCAACAGATGGCGGTAAAGTTAAGGGTGAGACTATTCTTTCACTTGCGCCCCGATCTCTTGACCAGCATTTCACAATCAACTCGCTTATTTTATCGAAGATTACAAACGATCTTCCCAGCGTTTGTGTACAGATGTCGTCTTGGCCGCACTTACGAAATCCCGCTCTTGCTGATCAGCATTATGCCAAACCTGGTCCTATTGATGTGTTAATAGGGATGGATGAGATGGATAAATTCCTGTTAACCGGTCTCTGCAAAGGGCCACCTGACACACCCATGGCGCAAAACACAGTTTTCGGTTGGGTACTTTTCGGAAAGGCCATGCGTTCATCCAGCCCAAGTGCGGGAGTTTTATCCCTGCACTGTGATGTGCAACTCATCCGAATGGTGAGTAAGTTTTGGGAGCTCGAAGAGTTTCCCCCCAAGCGATACTTAACTGTCGAAGAGGAGGCTTGTGAAGGGCATTTTCGCAAGCATTGTCGCCGCGCTGAAGACGGGCGTTACATCGTACGCCTACCGTTAAAGGAATCCGTGCCTTTAGGTGAGTCGAGAAACATATCCGTAAGAAGTCTGCTAAGAATGGAAAAACGTTTCGCTGTTGATGAGGAGCTACGCCGTCAATACGCAGAATTTATGCAGGAGCTTTTAAATATGGGCCACATGGAGCTCGTAGGCAACGCTCAACCGCATAAAAGTTACTACATGCCACACCACGCTGTAGTAAAGAACACCAGCTCCACCACTAAACTGAGAGTGGTGTTCAACGCCTCATGTAAAACCACATCCGGTTTCTCGCTCAACGATGCACTAATGATAGGCCCGCAATTACAAGAGGATCTGTTTTCTATAATGGTGCGGTTCCGGACTCATCGTTACGCAATAATGGCCGATGTCGAAAAAATGTATCGACAGGTATACGTGGCAGAACAAGATGTGGACTACCAACGCATAGTTTGGCGTGACGACCCAACCGAACCTATCCGGGACTATCGCATGCTTCGTGTAACCTACGGCGTCGCCGCAGCTTCCCACTTGGCCGTACGATCTCTGCACCAATCCGCTTTGGATGCCATCGAAACGCACAAAGAAGCAACTGTTGTCATCATGCGCGACTTCTACATGGATGATCTTCTCACAGGCTCATTTTCTGTCGACAACCTTATGAAGCTACGAAATGACGTTACCATAGTTCTGTCTAACGCTGGCTTCGAATTACGGAAGTGGGCTACAAATTGCGACGAGCTTAGGGAGAAAATACCGCATGCGTCAAAGCAAATTTCACATCTGTTAGCTGACGGCGATGAAGTACGCACCCTAGGAATCATTTGGAACACAAGCGACGATTGTTTATCGATTGCAGTGAATTTGACCCCACTGCCTGCAATTCTCACGAAAAGAGTTTTTCTCTCAGATTCGAGTAAAGTTTTCGACCCACTCGGGCTAATCGCGCCGTGCACTATACTCTCGAAAATTTGGCTCCAGCGAATCTGGCGAGCGGACGTTGATTGGGATGAACCGGTGCCCGCCGATGTCGCTGAAGAGTGGCTCTCTCACCGTCAGCAACTACCTAAACTCACGGCTCTTAAGCTAAATCGTTGGATTGGTACCAGTGAAATCGTCGAGCATGCTGAATACCACGTTTTCACGGATGCATCTCAACGTGCCTACGCTGCGGTACTCTACTGCCGCACGCAACTACCCGATGGAACTTTTAAGGTCGTTCCAGTCGCCGCGCGCGCGAAGGTCGCACCTTTAAAAAGTACTACTCTCCCACGTCTGGAATTGTGCGCAGCGCATTTAGGCGCCAAGCTTGTCAAGCAGGTTCAGTTGAGTTTCGGTTGCAATATGAAAAATTTATACGCGTGGACCGACTCAACTATAACGCTAGCTTGGTTACAGAGTCACCCAAGTCGATGGTCAGTCTTCGTTGCGAATCGCGTAGCCGCAGTACAAGAAGTTCTAGCTCCTGAGTGCTGGAGACACGTCCGCTCAGAGCACAATCCAGCTGACTGCGCGTCTAGAGGCTTGGCTCCGTCGAATCTACTCGCCCATTATCTTTGGTGGCAAGGGCCAAGTTGGTTAGCTGAAAATGACGATCAGTGGCAGCATCAAGCAACAGAAGATTTGGAGTTGCTGACAAGGCGTAACTCGAACATAAGTTCCGAATTACGAGCGACCAAATCCGCATCACACCTCACCCAAACTGCAGAAGATTGGGAACTATTGTCAAGGTATCATTCGTATATTAAACTCAAGAGAATTACGGCCTATGCTCTACGTTTCGTCAACAACTTAAGAACAACTAGCAGTCAACGCAGTACTGGCGCCCTCACCAGCAGTGAAATTCTCCACGCTGAAAATGCACTGGTAAAGTATATCCAAACTAACGCTTTTCCAAAGGAAATTACTTGTTGCAGGTTAACCAAACAAATACCATTACGAAGTCGTCTAATCCGCCTTCAACCATTTTTGGATGTTGATGGCATTCTCCGTGTTGGCGGACGAATAAAACGAGCTTCTGTCTCCACCGACGTCAAGCACCCGATAATCTTACCGAAGAACTCGTCGCTGGCGAAACTCATAATATCCGATATTCACCGCAGTACGCTCCACGCCGGCCCGCAAATCATGCAAACAGTTCTACAACGTCGCTTTTGGGTTCTGGGTTCTCGTAATCTTGTTCGCGCAATCTACCACAAATGTGTAAAATGTAAACGCATTAACCGCCGACCGTTGGGTCAAGTAATGTCGGATCTACCAAGCAGCCGCCTTACGAGTTCTCGATGTTTTCTGCACAGCGCCGTCGACTTTGCGGGACCCTATTTTATAAAGTTTTCACGAGGCAGAGGAGCCAAATCATGCAAGGCGTATATATGCAGTTTCATATGCATGAGTACTGGTGCAATGCACCTCGAGCTCGTTGGAGATCTCTCTTCACCTGCGTTTGTCGCCGCTCTCTCTAGATTTGTAAACAGAAGAGGTTATTGTCAGCATGTATACTCGGACAACGGCACTAATTTCGTTGGTGCCGAAAGAGAGTTATACGCCGCCTACCGCCGTTGCGTGAGAGATGAAAAGCTTACCTCGTATTTGGCGAACATGCAAATAACATGGCACTTTAATCCGCCAAGCGCACCACATATGGGTGGTTATTGGGAGGCAGGGGTGAAGCGAGTAAAATACCACTTAAAGCGTGCTCTCGGTAGCTCTTTATTAACATACGAAGAACTTGCTACGCTTTTAACGGAGGTGGAAGCTTGTGTCAACTCGCGACCGCTCTATTGGCACTCTGCTAGTGCTGATGATTTGGAAATCCTCACTCCTGGTCATTTCTTGATTGGTGAGCCAATCAAGGCGCTGCCTGAACCTGACACCGAAAATTTCTCAGGGACGTTACATCAACGATGGCAAGCCATTAGTGCAATGCGGCAACATTTTTGGTCACGTTGGCGAAACGAATATGTCGTCAACCTACAACAACGTGTTAAATGGTTTCGCCCCTCCTCGAACCTGAAAGAAGATGACGTTGTCATCATTCACGATTCGAATAGCCCACCCACTAAATGGCGACTTGGGCGTGTAACTCAGTGTCATCCTGGTGCGGATGGACTGGTACGCGTAGTAAAGCTGAAGACGGCGGATGGAGAATTGGTGCGGCCTATTGCGAAACTGACGCTTTTGCCAACGCAAAATGATATATTTACTTTGTAATATTTGTACGATCTTGATAGATACTTATGCAATTTTGAAACTTGAATTTAATTTCGAACTTATCCCAGTCGTTCAAGGCGGCCGGTATGTTCGTGCCCATATGGCAACTCTGTTTTGCTTTGTTATTCCAATGGAATAAGGGAAAATGGAATGTAAATAGTAGAAAAGGAAAATGTCATTAGTTAATATTCGCTTTTTATCTATCGTTGTAACCCGCTGTATAACTGAATAAACCGCTTTTAAAATCTAATATAATCCGCTTTTATATCACCCGCTTTCGTGTAAACTGCATTTATTTGCGTACAATCGGACTTTTGTAATAATACGCTTTTTCGCTTTTGTACGCAACAAGAAATTTCATCTATATGTACACCCCTGGTCATAATAATAGGTACACGATATTTTTACGAGTTTTGACAATTTTGCTTTTGGTTGTTTATTAACTTTTCATAAAAGTCTAACTCAGAAAAGAAACACCATATAAATCCGTATTTCAAATTTTGTACAAATTAAAAATAGTCAAAACTGGTAAAAACGTCGTTCCCTATTATTATGACCACTTTTACTGCCGACGACGATATTCAGCATAGGCCGAAAGATAATTCTTATATAAATCTGATTGGCAGTCTTACCGTTCTAAATGTTAATGGAACAATTTGTACTGTGGATTAACCGCATACATATAATCATAAACAAACTAATAGGTATGGGACATTTTGTCCAGTTTTGACTATTTTTATTTGGCTTTTTTAATATCGTATATTTTTAGCATAAAAGTATAGCTCATTATGTAACAAACACCAGCTAAAATTTGAAACTCTACGAAAATAAGAACACTTCAACAAAGTGTCTTGAAAACTGGAAATTTTTTGATAAGAATTTGAAAATATCCGAGCTTTAGCTTTCTGCTGACGGTGTTATGTATTTTCTTCCATATAAAGTATGCTCGCAGCATTTTTTAATGGATGGCAATGCATAACACCGTTAGCAAAAAGAAATAAAAGCCAAAAATTCACGCAAAACCTCGGATATTATCAAATTCGCACTACAAATTTTCATACCAAAAATGATTCTTGAAATTCTTATAAAACAATTTGCAGTTTTCAAGACACTTGGTTGAAATTTTCTTATTTTCGTAGTTTCAAATTTTGGGTGGTCTTTGTAATATAATGAGCGATACTTTTATATTAAAAATATAGGATATTAAAAAAACCCAAATAAATATAGTCAAAATGTCCCATACCTATTATTTTGTTGATGAGTGGTACATACGTGGTTTAACTTAAACAAAAGTTCATTTTGTTAGTAGATGCTATTATAATAAGTCACAATTATTCAAAATCCGTATCGTCAAAAAGTCCTTCCATGGCATTTTGCAACAGATCAGAAGATTTCGATGATGATGTTGACGATGTGCAGTTTTTCGATCTTTGCACCAACTGCCGCATAAGGCACTGAGCTTCCCATGCAGCATCGTTTTGTTGTTCTGGCTTTATGTCATTCATTTGAGCTGATACCAGATTGCCTAGCCAAGGAAATGGTCTTACTTGCTTTTCAGATATTTTGCCTTTAAACGAGGCCAAATCCTTTTGCAATTGGCAAAAACATTATCTTTCTAAAATGGAGATGAGTCAAAAGTTATAAACCATTAAAATTTAAGAGAACAATAAACATACATAGATACCTTTGCTCGTTTTCTCCGCGGCTCCACGATCACGTCGTAGTCATCAGTGGTCTGACTATCGTTATGTGAACTGCACTCCGGGCTGTGTGGTAGAGAGTTCTCATCCTTATAAAATAAATAATTTTATTTAGAAAATGATGGACGAATTCGCGAGTAAATTTACCTCGTAATTACTTTTTCCTTCCCTAATTTTGGTGTGGGATTCAAGGAATTGCAGCTGTGAAAAGCACCATAATTTTGGCGTGGACACGTCACATATACCGGAGCCACTTTTCTTAGATGCCTGCACCTCTCGTGCATCCCTTAAAAACTGCGTTCTTAAATTCTTCCATTTTTTCTTTACTTCAGCCACATTCATTTCACCCATCTCCAACTGCATTTCATCACAAATTTTGTTGAACGCTTGTGCCTTCATATCGCGGTTTAAATAATCCGCCGATCTAATATTGTTTATGCAAACATTTTGCTGAACTAAATTTATTAGTTTTTCCACTTGTGAATGACTCCATTTGCATTTTCCCGACATATTTTCTGTTTTAAGTACTTCAATTTGTGTTAAAATTTTCAATCGCAAAAGAATTGCGAAAACAAAATAAAACGTCAAAAAAGTTTCCCAAGCGGAGTTTCTGTGTGTAAATGAAACGAGCAACACCAAAAGGGAATGTGAAAAATCGCGGCGACAAAAGTATTCTTGTATAAACGCAGTCTGAGCAAACAAATACGCAAACAAAGCAGCCAACTACTTCATCCGCGGTAGCCGAGTAGTGAGGGCTGCGTACTACAAGTCTGCAGGTCCCAGGTTCGATCCCCGGTTGGAGCGATTTCCAAAAAATTTTGTTTTTATTGTACTTTAATTTTTTTAAATTTTAGTTGATTAATATATTTAATTTTATTTTCGTTTGTTTTATTTTATTTCACATTTTTTATTTTACTATTAGTTAATTCAAAGTTTTGAAGTTAAATTTAACTAAAAAAGTCAAAGACAACTAACTAAAAACAACCTAAAAAAGTATAGAAGTTATAATTGAATGAAAAAAAATAAAAATAATGAATATTCTACTGGCCGAGGGATTCGAACCTACGACCTCGCTCATAACTCCGCTTACTACCGTCTGTCAAGGCACAATTTTGATCAGATCAATTGCGCTGTTAATCCGGATCAACGTTGCCGTCTGTCTATGCTTTTAGACTCCTAGCAGTGAAGGAGCGAGAAAGCTCAAAGAGATACCCGTTTACTTTCGAGCACAAGTCATCAATTCCCTACCAGACGCCAATATCGAACAATCGTCAGCGTAAGAGACAATCGAGACTCCCTCTGGTGGTTCAGCGAGCTTGTAAATATAAAAGTTAAACAGGGAAAGGAGACCACCCTGTGGAACCCCCTGTTTTATTTTTCTAGGGTTGCTTGATTTTTCTCTAAACATTACTGACGAGTGTCTGCCACTCAAATAAGTCGCTGACCACCGTTTG